AAATGACCAAGGAAATCACCGTTATGGGAGGATTTTAAGTGGTCCTTAAGCCGAAGGTTTAGTCAATTCTAGAAAACCTGATGACAGGCAATGTGATGTAGTGAAATATCTTATAGTTTCAGAATCAACACCCTCTCCTGCTCCCACTTCTCCCCAAAACACACACACACACACACACACACACACACACACAGCCTCCAAGGCTGTTGAACATGGGTTAAGACCACGAAAAGAATCCATTACTCTTCTCTGGGTCCTTGTTCTTTCATCTGTACAGTGAGGATAACAATTTGAAGTGTTGCAGAAAAAACAGAGACAAAGACCTGACTGGTTCAGCGCCCCAAAGGCAGAATTAACATCTCAGTATTACTGAAGTTAGTAGATCTCCAAACACATGGATCGATTTGACTTGGAGCTAACAGAGCCAACATGGCCAAAGACTAGAAGCAGTACATGGGCCTCGTCACCACCTGAAATGCATCTTGATGTCTTGCCCCTCTGTGCAGCTCAGGGTCACTGTGGGCCTCACCAAGGGTCGTGCTGCTGTGAAGGGTGATGCACTCTTCCTTCAGCCTCCTTCAGCCTTTTCTTCACAGGTGGAGCAAAGAAACTTTTTCCAGAGTTACTACAAGGCTTAAGGAAGACAACAAGAGAGCATGAAAATCAATGTGACACTAATGGCAGAGCCCAAGGTGACAGTGAAGAGTTCAGTTTTAGACAGAGGAGCCTCCCAGAAAGTGTGACAGTGCTGACTGTTAGAATGCTATCCTGCCTTGGTTTCCCACGGACCCACGAGTTCACTCTTGCCTGAATAAGTAGAATCACTTCCCTTCTAGCTGCCTTTACCTATTCGGGCACTAGGTTATCTTAGACTTCCTCATTGCCAGTATGTGGATTGTAACTCAGGCATTAATACCACAAACTTCTTCCTATTTACCATGCACCCCCCCCCCACCCAAGGCACCTTGATTTTAAACATGTGTTTAAAACTTCAGGAATCTGCAAAGCCAAATAAGAGAACTTGGGAAAATGCCCTTCATGTGCGGGAGTAAACTAGGTGAAGGGAACATCCTGGAAAGAATTCCAGGGAAACACGGAGTCACCAAACAAGGAAGAGAAAGGGAGCCACATCCCAGGCAAAGAGGCAGGCCTCCAGAGTGGCCAGAAGCTAGTAGGTGTGTAGCCAGAAAGAGTGAGAGGAGTCCTGGAATTCCAGCCCAGTGACTTAAGCCCAAGGCTCCACGTATGGCCAGGAAGACTGTGGCTATGGCCTGGATGCCCAGGTCCCTCTGAAATTCATATGTTGAAAGTCTAATCCCACCACGATGGCATCAGTAAGTGGAGGCCTCTGAGAGGTGACTGGGTCAGAGGGCAGAATGCTCATCAATGAGATCAGTGCCCTTACACAGCAGGCCCCAGAGAGCTGCCTTCCATCCTCTAGTCTGTGAGGACACAGGGTAAAGGCGCCATCTATAAACCAGAACTCCAGCCTTCACAAGACACCGAACCTGCTAGAGCCTTGATCTTAGAATTTTCAGCCTCCAGAACTGTGAGAAATGAATTCACTCACGCTGTTTATGAGCCACCCAGTTTATGATATTTTGTTATTGCAACCCCAATGGAAAAAGATGACTGCCTTTTCTACAACTTCAGGGATGCCATCCACAGAGGCATCTCAATGGGAATACAGTAGTTGAGAGCTGAAGAGGCCATAATCTAAATATCAGCGCAAGCACGCACATCAGGCTACTGACCTGAAGCAACTGGATTTGACTGTCATACTACAGAGTAGCTTGATTAAAAATGTATTTCTTTATGATTATATGATTCTCATTTTAATTACCACATAACATTTTCTCATAGTCACACACACACACAGTGGCAGACTCATCTTACTCATGCCTGGATCTCCAACACCCAGCTCAAGGCCCAGCTTAAAAATTGTCCCTCCTCTTAACAACTTCCTCATTTCTTATTGATGTTAGACTCTTCCCCTTCTCCTTCTTCTTCTTCTTCCATGTTGGATTGCATTCTGTGGATTGATTACAACAACGGCAACACTCATGGCAACTATTTAGTTTCTATTTTGTACTGGTCACTATGCTGGTTGCTTTATTTGCATCTTCCATGATTTTCAGGTTGGAAAAATTCTGATCATAACTCTACTTAATAGATTGAGATATTCTAAATAATCCAAGATCATATGGCTGAAAAGGGAATAAATGAAGATTGAAATTCACCTTTTTACCATATTTTTTTTTTCAACTTGAGAAGATTTTCCGAGTCAAGAGGCAAAGCAAATTGCCTAGTAGAAATTATCTCATTTATCTGGCTCTACAATAACTTCATGAATTTGATCAACCAGCATCGCACTCAGCCACAAATTTAGCCTGTAAGAAGGGGCAGGGTAACGGCGGCTGTATAATTTCATCAGAAGTARTAGATTCACTATCAATCATGGATAGCATCAGTCACAGATCACTGTCAACTTAACTTCATTTGTTCAGTACTTTCTTCCCTTGGAAGTACAGTGGTTATTAATGACACGTGACCCCAAGCATGATCTTCATAAGACCCCAATACAATCAAGATACTTCCCATTTTAAAGTCAGGGTTGAGTCCACCTCTTCTCTACCATACATATATCCATCAGCCCCTTCCCAATCCAGTTTGTGGGCCACCTGCCTGGCCACTGCTGCCATGCTATCAACAGTGAAGCTGGGTGAGTTACTAGAAGTTCAGAACAGCCCACTCCTTGGCTTTTCACATTCCTTCTCTCTGCCTGAAATGCCAACAACAATCTCTTATTATTCATATTATTTTATGACTCACAGGACTATTTCAAGGTCCATGAAGAAAAGAAATATATTTTTTAAGTGGATATATCTTCATATCCAGTGTTTGGCACATAGTAGGTTTCAATAAATATTTGCTCTGGATTAATTCAAGGTTAAACACACACACACACACACACACACACACACACACACACACATTTTCTGGGAAAACTCCCTGAAGTCCGGGAAAAGTTGTCCCTCCTCTGTATTCCCTGGAGGCCCTGATATTCTAATTGCCACATTGTTACACAATGAATTATTTGTTCCCCACTCTTTCTCCAGGGCTAGACTCTGAGCTCTTGGGTGGCAGACTAATCTTACTCATGCCTGGATCTCTAACACCCAGCTCAAGGCCCAACTTAAAGTAAGCCCTCAGAGAGTTCCTGGTACTGCAAACACAATCATGAAACAATCATGTGAGGTGAGCCAGTCTGTTTATGCTTCTCATTTTACACATTAGAAAAAAATATGTCGGGACTCAATTTCCATCTGAAATCAGAGGCCAGTACCAAAACACAGATCTCCCAAGCCCTTGACCAAGCTCTGTTGGTGGCCATCAAACTGAGACCAGGCACCTCTCTTTCTGACCCATGAGCAGAGGTTGCCTGGGGGCTGTTGCTGTTGCTGGTCAAGTGTTCCCATGGGGTAGACTCTCCACAAGAGCCTAAGGGAAACTATCTTTTCCCTGGGAATCAGGAATTGAGWCCTAGGCAGGTTTCTGGGCAGTAAGATGTAAGATGTGCCAGGAGGCATGGGGCCATCTTACCTACTTTACAAACTATGCTCTAGGATGCAGGCAGTGTCCTCCCTCCACCTCTGGCCCACCACCAGGAACTCTTGATCTCTGCAGGAACCCTGATGTCCCCGGTGGGTGGGCATAATTATAAATAGCTCTCTTTTTCATTCAAATGCATGCTTCTGTGGGCAATTAATTATGTGGTCCCTGTGCCATGAGATGATGTCCAACGTGCATGCAAAAGTACAGAGGGCTCCCAGAGTTCTCTCAACACCCCTTTCCCAGGATTTGGCCTCTTTTTAAGTCCCCTCTAACTACATTGCTTCTTATATACCAGGATACATTAGGTAAATCTGGGGTGTCCAAAATCTGAACAGGCCCCTTCTCTTGTGTTCTTTCCCAAGCCAGTGGTCTGGAACCTTCCTAAGAAGTGAAAAATAGTCTGAGGGTGAAACTACAGCCTTCCCCTGATGACAGCATTGAATGTGTTTGTGGTCCACGTGCCGGGGCGTAGGAGGACTTCTGAAGCTCAGCAATCTGGCTGGGAGCCAACAGCGCTCACTAGAGGTGTGGGTGCAAAGGTGGGTTTCCCTCCAAAGCACTCTGGGGACCGTCCAGGGAAGGAAGAATTACTGATTAAAAATTTTTAAGCCAAAAGGTGCTGAAAATATTCGAAGCTCAAGCTGGGGAGTTGGGGAGGGGTGGGAGGCGCTGACACAAACTAAAAGCCAGCAAGAGATTTCAGTTTAAATGAGGAGTGTTGGGGAGAGATAATGAAACTAATTCTTGATACCTCSGGCGGCAATACTGGTGCAAGTACATTCTTAAGAAAGTGAGGAGCTGCTCAGTGAGTGCAACATCGGAGCAGAGGGAGCTTGATGCTCAGAGGATGCCTGGCTTTTCGTGGAAAAAGCAGGGGATATGAACTGGATCTGGGGGAGGACCAAGGGTATCAGAGTCCAGGCATCTCCAGCCCAGCACCTTCAAACTAGCGCGCAGCAGAGCCAAGCGCGCGGCGGCACCCTGGGCCGCGGAAGGATATTGCACTTTGTTTACCTCGTCTGGGCAGCGCGAGGGAGCTGGAAGGCCAGCGCAGGCGCCCCCGACCGGGAGCTGCAATGGCTGTGGCAGCCGCCGCTCCGCGGACTAGCGCGTTGAGCCGCCCGAGGACTGGCAGCGGCGAGGCTGATTGATGGGCGCTGGGCTCAATGAGGGGACCCGGGCAGGGGCGGGGCGGGGCCGGCTCCGGGCCGAGCCAGTCGCGGGTGCGGCTGGGGGCGGGGGTGGGGGCTCCGTGGAAATGTGTCGGTGACATTGAATGGGGAGACCGAGCGCGAGCGAGGCGCGCGCGCGCGCACACACACGCGCACACATAGCCGGCTCGCTCCGAGATCCCCGGCCACGTAAGTAACTATTAATACCGCCTCGCCGGGAGATGCGGGCGTGCTGAGCGCCAGGATTGGCCTCGGGCACAGTCGGCCAGCCCCTTTAATTTTTAAATACACAGTCCTCTCTTACCTCTGGGTGGCAAGGGAAAAAAAAGAAAAGAAGAAGAAGAAAAAGAAAAGCCGTCAATTTTCTCCAAAACAAACCCCGCCGGGCAATTTGGGTTGAGGGCAGGGGGAGACGGAGTGGTTGCAAATTACTCCAAGGCAAGATCCAGTTCTCCAGCTGGAAAGGAACGCCGCGGGTTGGAAGAGCCGGGGAAGCTTTCTCTTCCAGTTCCCGCTGGACCCCCGGAAGCTGGTGCCTGGGAAATCGGAGACCATTGATCCTCCTTGGTCCCCGCCCGGACTTCTGGCTTCATTCGGAGGAAGATCCGGAACGCGGGCCAGCGGCGACAGCATGAGCCTGTTCTGACCTCCGCGCCGCGGGCCAAGCCCTGGGCTTTGTCGCGGTACCTGCGCCCGGCGGGGAGGCAACTCTGCCCAGCTTTTGCAATCTTTTGTTGGCAGCTCTGACCGCTCCAAGTTAAATGATCCCTTGCTATTTTTCTTTTTTTGTGTGTGTTTGTTTAATTTTTTGGAGAGCTCTTGCGATCTTGGAAAAGCCTCAGACGCCATCTACAGTTAAAACGTAGGTAACTGCCCTCTCCGGCACCCCCCCTTCCACGCCCCCCACCCTTTCCACCAAAAAAGGGGGTGCAGCGCGGATTCTGGCTGCCGTGCGTCGCGAGCCGGTAGACCCGTGCTTATTTCCTTTTTGCTTTTTGTTTGGTTTCTARCGCGTGGAGACTGAGCCTCCGCCGTGCGCTTCCCGAAGACTACACAAACTACAGCCGGGCTTCTCCGCCCCGTCTGCGATTCGGAAGGCTGCCTGGGGTTCGCTTCGGGAAACCCGGCGCTGCAGCTCTCCACCTTAACATTCCGGTTACTCATCTACATCCAGTTGGGAAAAGAGAGAGAAAAACTAAAAAGTGAGGCGATTCTGCACATCGCTGGCTGCTTTGGGGTAACAAAAGGACCCGAGTTGCCTTTCGACGGAGCACCCCCCTCCCCCCGGGAGCCCGGCTCGGAGCGGACGAGGTGCTCGCGGAGCCCATCGGGGGCTTCCAACTCTTTCTCCACGTAAACCCCTCTCCATCCCCTCCCCTCTGGTTCCTTTTTTATACCGGTGGCACAGAGGCGCCTGCAGCCGCACTCGCCTGCGACTCCTCTCTCCAGCGGGTTTTTTTGTTTGTCGTGTGCGATCCCCACACTCATGAACATACACAGGTCTACCCCCATCACAATAGCGAGATATGGGAGATCGCGGAACAAAACCCAGGATTTCGAAGAGTTGTCGTCTATAAGGTCCGCCGAACCCAGCCAGAGTTTCAGCCCGAACCTCGGCTCCCCGAGCCCGCCGGAGACTCCGAACTTGTCGCATTGCGTTTCTTGCATCGGAAAATACTTATTGTTGGAACCTCTGGAGGGAGACCACGTTTTTCGTGCTGTGCATCTGCACAGCGGAGAGGAACTGGTGTGCAAGGTAAAGAGCCCGGGGTTTGGTTTTGCTTTTTGTCTTTTGAAAAGGTTTCCCGGCCCTTTGGAAGTAGCAGTCGGGGGCGGGAGGTCGCCAAGCCTTCGACCCTGGGGGAGGGAGATTCGAGGGATAATTATCTGTGGCCTCGTTAAATGGTTTTGTTTATTTATTTGTCCATGTTGGACTAGTTGAGAAGTTTTTAGACCATTGCAGACAATGGGGCGGGCTGCAGCGGGGGCGTTTTGGGGAGAGCCCGAGGTGGGGAGGGCGGCGAGACTGCGCGGGGGCACGGACGCGCGTGCTCCCCGAGGCTCGTGGAGCTCGGTGCGCGGGGCTGGCTGCCGCTGCCCAGGGGATTTCTCCCTCTGTCGATCCCCCTCCCCTCCCCACGCGAATAGGGAATCCCCCGCTCATTTAAGACACTGATGACTTGGTTCCTTTAGCAGCCATTGTTCTTAGGAGCTTGCAGGTGTTAAACCTTTGTTCCAAAGGTGCCCTTTAAAAGCGACACAGAGAGGTGTCCCTTCTGGCTGAGCCCAGGGCCCCAGCGCGGAGAAGGAGTTTACAAAGATCTTTCTTTTGCCTGGAGCTTGGAAATGAGGATTGGGGTGGCAATCCAAGCCGCCTGCTCACCTTGGGTGAACAGTGAATCCTTTGGGTCGGTCTTGTCTTTTTTTCTCATCTCCAGACTATCTTGCCAGCACGTTTTCCTGATCCTTATTCCTCATCCCCCCTCCACACACCTTTGCCTGCAAGGTTTTGAGGCTAGCATTTGGAGCCCCCCGGAATTGGGGTGCTGATACAGAGATGGATACTTCAGTTTCCTTTTTGTCTTTGACCCTGAACAGTGACTGGCTTGTGTATGCATGTGTGTGTCTTTGTGTGCACTCAGGGCATCAGAGGAGGGATGAGAAGGGGAATTGTTGAAAAAAAAAAATTTTTTTTTTTAAAAGACTCCAGTGGAGCATAATGCTACCCAGAATTGGACATAGATCAAGAATTCATTCTCACTTAATTTTGGATTTGCTCACTGTTTTTTTTTTTTTTTTCCCCCCGGGTGGGGGTGTGCAGTGAGGATACTGTGCTGCTTTTGAAATGGGCGCTGTCCTGCACATCTGTGTTACAAATAATGCATCACACTTTTCCCATTAACCAGAGTCTGCTTTGTGGAATAACCTTATTTTGTACCGAACTGGAGTATTCCATAGCAAAAATTGGKTTAGTGGAGATCTCTAGTTAGTTTTGTGATTGTTCAGTTCAGACCTTAGGTGAAATCAGACTCTTTAAATATTGCTCTTTGCTTGTACCAAACATTTGGTATTTTGCATCTTTTCTGAGTTATACAGACTCACTGCAACTGTTCCCGGTTAAACAAAATTCAGTAGGTGGCTCAGAGCTGGATTGAATTCTCCAAGTCCTGCAAGGTTGCACAATAGGCTAGGCATCCTCTGAAATGAATGAATTCCACAGAGCTGCCACTCTGTTCTGAAATATGCACATCACCCAACAGTGAGTGTTTTCGCTCCTTTTGCTCAACTTCAGTGTAGCATTTTAATATTTTTCGAAAGCTGGAGATGCTTTGAAGTAAAGAGACTGTGCAGCCAAATTCTGCAGGAACATCTTGCTGGTATTTCTTTGTTTAAAATCAGAGAAGTCTCTGGCCTCTGCTTGCTCTTTCTCCCTTCAGGTCCTTCAAGACATATTTCACTGTAGGCTGACCTTTCAGTGTCATTTGCACACTTGCTCTCTGGCCTAAAACTGTCCTTAATCTGCTGGTTTAGTTATTGCAAAGATTGGATCAGTCCCTCACCAATTACAGTGTGGCTGCAAGTGGATTTAAGTGCAGTATCATTGTTCTGCTTGACAGAGGTCATCCCTGGGAGGCACAGCAGCGTCTGTTTTCCTGCCTTTCCTGATGCGGGTGACTTCTGCAGACAGAGCTGTGTATATCCTAGGGAGCCAAGTGAGTTTTATAAAGCTGCATCTATGAACTGCCTTGAGAGACACACCGAGGGTTCTTAGATCACTTCAAGGCTCAGGGAAATCTAATCATTGAATCATATTCCTTTTGATGTTTTAGAACATAAGGTTCATGTTTCTTAGCTCTGTGCTGACCCAAGAAAAAAGTCTTTAAAAACAGAATGGAAAGGTGCTATTCACCACAGAGGACTACATAGAGAATTCTGTAGGACACTCTGGGGATAGGGATTCCAGGGACATTTAAACAAAATGATCCAGCCTGTTTATTGTCTCCCGTGTGCCTACTTTGGCTAAGCAAGTGGAGGAAGGAGCTTTAGGGGGTCTTTAGCTGTATCATTTTCATAGAAATGCTGGTAGCTACTGTGCAGACTGACATAAGTACTGTCTTGGCAGAAAGAGCACTTTCTTTTTGCAAACATTATTAATGGTGGCCTAATCTCACAGCCTTATCTGAACTGTCATATTATATAACTAAGGTTCCAAATTAAACATTTGAAAGAAGCTGGCAACCAGGCTTAAGGCTTGATTTTGCACTTGAAGGTGATGGTTTAAATACCAATCCAAGCCCATAAATGCCTGTTACAGCCACTAATAAAAGTTTGGCTCCTTCCCATTGGGAAAGCATAAGTACTTCTTTTATTTTTCATTTCTGTCCACCATCTTGGAATTTGGTATCTTCTACAAAGGGTATGGCTGCATTTTGAAGCTGCCACTAATGTGTTAGATTGTTGTTTTCTTTCTTGAATTCTATGTCCATTCAGTTTTTCAGCATTGAGCAAGGATAATAGGCTAAACATGCTAAGTCAAAAGCACCTTTTATTTTTAAAAAAGGCAACTGGAAACAGGAAGTATATTGTAAATAACCATAACTCGAGGCCCTGGCAGCAAGATCCTGCAGCCTGGCTCTTCAGAGCACATCAGGCTCATTATATAATACAGTGTCCGTAGCCCCTGCAAAGCGTTTATTCTTGCATTCTGTTGCCTGCAGTCTGGGTTTTGAAGTTGACTCAAGCATTTCAGATCCTAATTGAACGGGCCTCTGAGGTCACTGCTCTGAGGTCATCATTTGACAGTATCAGGGTGTGATTTGTGGTCTCTGGAGAGGCTGAAGTATTCATTCTTAAATTCTAGGGTGCAGTGGCAGCAGCTGTGTGCTTTCCTGAGCCGCCTCATTATGGTTCATTCACAAAGATGCTGTTAACTTTGCTTCCTCAGCCCCAGTTAGCACCAGCCCCCTTGAGGTTCTTATTGTCCCTGTTTGACTCACAGATTTTTTTTTTTTTTTTTTTTTTAATGCTTAGAGTGACTGAACTCTTGGATTCCTAAATGGCAGCCTCTGTCCCTGAATGAGCTCCAGAAGGCTTGGGATCCCTTTACAGGAAATCTAATATTGTGCATGTATTTGAGCTGGGTGCTGTCAGCCAAAGGGGCAGTTTTAATCAGATTCCTGGGTGGAATCAGGATCCAGGAAAGGTTGATGGCATTTAAGTCGGCGTCTTCATTTGGTAGAGAGGGGGTGTCAGTGACCCTGTGCTGGTGGCTGAGCCAGGATTAGTGTCCAGTGGTTCACACTCCTGTGTTTTCTCACCACATTGCAAAATGGTGATCATGGACAGTATGTTCTCACTTAATAAAGCCTTTTAAGAAGCTCAGTGTTTGCAAACTGATAACATAAAGGGTGCTGTTGGGGCGTTCCTCCTGTGGATTCTCTTGAGCCATGATCCCTTTCACCTGCTCTCATTCGTTACACCCCTGGTACCCTCCTCTCACCCTGGTACCCTCTCTCTCACCTCTGTCCTTGTCCTGGGAAGCAAGGACAGCCAGGTCCAACCCAGGCACTTGTGCTGCTGATTTAACTCAGGTCTTGAATGAAAGCTTCCTTTCCAACCTCGGAAATTCTCTGTAGTGTTCATTTCAGTTAGGTCTCTTTCGAAAGGTATTGATGGTACATTTTCTTTTCAAGCAACAATGAGGTGGCATTTCACAGGCTAATTCTGATTCATGGAAAATCATTGCATAACTGGTTCATTGAGTTAGATATCCGTGGAGGGAAGAGGGATGCAGTCGGCTTCTCCATTGACAAGGCCTGCAGCCTGTTCTCAGATCTGCCACTGGGGGCACGAGTTTTGTCTTCTTTTTTGAGCCTCAATTTCCGCCTCTGCAAAATGAACATGCTGAATTTAGAAAACCATTAGACATGGTAGGGGGGTATTAGTTGTTGCGATAGGATGCTTATTGATGTGCATTTCTTTATTTCTCTTTTCTTTGAAGGAAATAAGATATTGTCCATGCTTCTTGGGGTGTGTCACTTTCTGATCTTGCCTTAGTACTTGGAAAAGCAGAGGCAACTGGGCTAAAGGGGACAATGATAAAACTTAACATTTGTATGCTGCCTTCGCTTTCTCTTATAATCCTCCCAGCACCAAGTGAAGAGTCATTTGCTTATTTTTCACATGACAGCTTGGAGAATCAGAGAAGTCGGGGTACTCACTTCTTCAGTGCCCCACAGCTGACAGCAGACAGGTCTGATCCGATCAGGGTCCGAGTTCGGTGTACTGTCATCTTAAACACATGCCTGTGGGAGGTGTTAGTGTTCTGCTCTTCCGGGGGTGTAGGAGGAGCCTCTGATTTGCTCTTGTTACTCCTGTTCTAGGTGTTTGAGATCAGCTGCTACCAGGAGTCCCTGGCCCCCTGCTTTTGCTTGTCTGCCCACAGCAACATCAACCAAATCACGGAGATCCTCCTGGGTGAGACCAAAGCCTATGTGTTCTTCGAGCGAAGCTATGGGGACATGCATTCCTTTGTGCGTACCTGCAAGAAGCTGAGGGAGGAGGAGGCAGCCAGACTGTTCTACCAGATCGCTTCGGCCGTGGCCCACTGTCACGACGGGGGCCTGGTGCTGCGGGACCTCAAGCTGCGGAAATTCATCTTCAAGGATGAAGAACGGTAAGACTCAGTCCTCTTCAGATGTGTGTGTGGGACAGGCTGCTCCTGGCAGTCACGGGAAAGGTTGCAATGAACACTTTTTTGCTGATTGAGGTCTGGGTGAGGGCAAGGAAATAGGAGGTCAGAGAGCAGAGCATGGCAGTGTTTAAGTGCCATCAGAAAATAAGTACCGCTGTTCTAAGGTGTCATTGTATGTGGGGTAGTCAGTGACCTGGCGAGTGTGTGTGGTTTCTTGTCATGAACTCTTCAGGTGCCGGCAAACCAGGGTGGCATTTTCAATGCCACCGAAGACAGGACTTTAAAAAATGCTATACCCCCCAAACACTGCCTAGAATCGGTTGTTTATAATTCAGTCATTCCTTCAATAGCTACTTCCAAGCCTGTATTATGTGTGAATCACAGTTCACAGAATTATAAATAGCAGATGAATTAGAGCCACCTGCCTTCTGAGAGTGTTGCACCTCTTAACAGAGGTGAGTTCCTGGATCCCATGGGAGCTGGGGTGGTGGGGGATGTCACTTTCAATTAGGAATTAAAGGGATAAGAAGGGTTTTGCAGAAGAGGAGGGTGACTGGGTAGCTAAGGCTTGCAAGGTGAACGTATCCCGTGCAGCGTGTTGAGGACCGCCCTCCAGGTGAGGAGACTGCTGTTGTAATGCGTGCCTGTGACATTTGCAGTGATTTCAGGAAGCAGCTGCACAGGACGCTGAGCATCTGGATTCCATTCATGGTTCTGCCATGAACTCATGACTTTCTATGCAGCAAACCCCACTGGGACTTTGCTTTTTCTTCCAGCTGACTTTGGTTGAAAAAACTACTTTGAGTCACTTTTTTTTTTTTTTATGAATATGCTTTTTTAGAAGGAGGAAGGCCACAGAGTCATATGCATTGATCACTGTATTCTAAGAATTACTTTTTAAGTGGCTTTACTTACTGGTGTCATGGAGTCTTAGGACTGCCTTGAAAAAAGAGGTCAGTGGAATAGAGGACCCACCGTCACAGAGTCATCCTGGGACATAAGGTGGATCATCTGATGGCGGGGCCAGTACCCTTGTTCTTTTAGTTACTCAGCAACATGTTTTGCTTGCCTTCCATGGTTCAGGCACAGCCCTGTTGTGATCAGAGCTTTCCAGTTGGTTGGCCATGGAGCCCAGTGGCCTGTGATAATTTCAGGCTATGGCTTAGAGAAGTCCCAGGACACCCAGATGAGTGAGATCCAGCGATGTGTGCCTTGTTATTTTAAATTATTATTATTTTTTATGTGCTTTTGAATCTCCGTCATTTGAGCTAATTGAGAAGTTCGTGTTTGGCAAGCTCGTTGGTATGAACAAAGGGAGAGGGCCTGTGGTTACTCAACCCAAATGCCACTTTCATGGTGCTGATATTCCAGCTGCAGAGGCAAAGAGCAGAAGGCGTCTGTGCTTCCTGGGCTGCAGAAGGTGGCGATTTTTCCATGTTTTGATCCACAGAGGGGTCTCATGGGCAGCTAGTCTTCTGGTTATTGATTTTGATGCCTTTACCCTTATTGACACACTGAAGAAGGGAGACTCTCCGAAGATTCGCATGTGGGACCCACCCTCACATTTTCTGTTCTGCAGACTGGGCGTTTCTGCCCTTGGAACCTGGAGACCCAGGTCCTTACCCTGGTCTTGATTTTAATGGCCTTTGACACCTCCCCAACACACACACACACACACACACACACACAACTTTCTCGTCCCTCTGTGTGGCTCTGCTCTCCTGGCTCTAAGTTCTTCTCGGGTGATAGCACTCAGGCCATACTTCTGGGAACGTTCTTATGGGGGAGCTGCTGAGCGCCAGCAGAATACCCATGAAGGTGTTCTCTTGCCGCTCTGTGTTACACCTCTCTTTGGAGATTTAATAACCTCACCTACAGAAACAGGAGATGATGTCTTTGGCCTCTTGTTATACTGCTACAGTTCAGCTGACTTGATTCTGAAAGTTGGAGAGGCAGATGTCCTTTGGTCCATGTTGGAGTGGAGCTCTGCAACACGGAGTGGGAGGTTTCACCTAGAAAGAGCAGAAGTGGGAGGAGGTTCTCAGCTCTTGAGAAATCCATTTGCCTGGGGTGGGGGTGGGGGGCGTGTGCACACCCTAGCCAGGCCCTCCCTTAGGATCTGCTCCTGGAAGCCTCTCCTTTGACTGTCTCCTTGGAGAAGGGTTTCCAGACCTCAGTGAGTATCGCGTGGCCTGCCCAAGGACAGCAACTGTGTGTTCATGCAGTGAGCCGATGTCATAGAACACGGGAGCAGGCGAGGACCCCGAGGTTCCAGCACACCATGCTTCCTCCCTCTCCTTCGGCTGTTTCCCTCAGTGTGGACAGCTAGCTGGAAGCAGGTGATGGCCTCAGGTCGGACTGCAGGGTCCCTACTGCGGGCTGTTCCCCTGGGCTCACTCCTCCTTTCTGAGAAGGTTTGTAAGGGTGCTGAGGAGGAGTGTAGCAGAGCCAGAATCCTGATGACCCCTGACCCAGAGAAGAAAGACCAAGGTTCAGGAGACTGCCTAACTGAGGACCAGGGCCTGTGACATTCAGTCTGGGGATGTGTTTGAACTGTGAAGGAGCTCACCCCGTGTTCCGTGTGAGCGAGAAACCAGAGTCACCCAGTGGAGCAGACATGTGAGAGCAGCATATTAAACTTGAAGGGTAAAGAGCTTTCCACCATCAGGAACCAGTCACAGGGAGACTGGCAGGAGAGCACCTACAGCCACGCAGCCCTGCAGCCTGAACAGTTGTCACAGCCCTGTGGGACCGTCATTAAGGATGGCATTCCCCATCTGACTGGTGAGGTTACTGGGCCGCACAGGGCTCCAGGTCACATCCAGTGTGTGGAGGCAGCCAGCCTGGAATCTCTCAGTCCCCAGCACTGCCCCCATCATGCTGCGTTCCCAGTGGGCTTGCCGCTGGGCGAGGACAAGTGTTTCTGTCTGGGCAGTTTTGCCAAGGTCACTTCTGTGTTCAAGGACACTCTAAACGTTCTCATCAGTGGCTAATAGAAACTTCTCTCCTCGTGCACCTATCAACTTTTTGTGAAAGGGGACTAATGCCTAGTCTCCTGTTTTCTTCTTATCATTGTTTTGTTTTGTAACCTCTTGATTTCAGAATGTGAAACGTCTGGTTCTGTCACTCAGCATATTTCTGCCTCTCTGTTTCCTGGCTTTGCTGAGTTTCGCAAAAGAGTCTGTGAGTTTGTTTTGCCTGGAGAGTGGCTTGCACACAGCAGGTGCCCACGCTTCCCGAGGGGACTCCTGATCTCACTGGGGCCAGGGCACCAGGAGCTCTTGACACGCATCCTAATTGTGGCACCCTCAGTGGAGTTACCAGCTCTATTGGGTTGAATCTGAAAGACTTTTGAAAACTTAAACCATGGTGTCTGTGTCTGTTTTCTGACATCTGATTCATTCATGAGAAAAGCATAGAGGCAGGTTGGCCGTGCAGCGACATCAGACACCTCACTGATATATCCGTCTTTTTTTTCAAGGACATGCTCCTTGTCCTTCCGTGATCTTGAGCCCCATGGAAGGTGGAGGAGCAGGTAGTGGAACCACCATTCAGAACAGGACTGCTCGTGAGCCGATTGCTCTTGCAAAAGCTGTACATTGCAGAAGTCTCTAGCTATGCCGCCCGGGCCATCCCTGAGCACATTCTTAGGGATCTGGAGCAGCACCTTGGGTTCAGTCCCCACTGTAGCTTTGGAAACATTGTTCTTGGGTGGCATAGGCAGTGCCCTTGTGCTGAATGGGCAGCAGCTCAGATTCTTCCACATCCGTTTTCCTGGGATCTGGGTTCTAGATTCAAATGCTGGCTCTACTACCTGTTGGTTGCCTGGGCTTGGACAAGTCTTTGACTATTTCTGAGCTGTGGTTTCTTCAAGGCAGAATTAATAATGACATCCCTGGAAAGTAGGTGTGAGTATTAACTGGGATGCTGCTGTGATTCATGGGTAGCACAGGCACCCTAAAGTGGCAGCTGTGTCTGGAGTCATTGAGAAACACCACCAGTAGAGATGACAGCCCTCGGGACTCCCTGAAGAACAAGGTCTCTCTGTGGCAGCCTTCTCTGTGAACCTCGTGAGCGTAGGTTCAGATTTAGGCCATACCCTCCTCCTTTCTGTTTAATTACAATCACTAAATCAATGCTAAGAGGTTGACCTGCCGGTCAAGTGCATCTGATGGGAGCCTGTTGCTCAGGAAGGCAGGAGAGTTGACCAGCTGCAAGGGGAGGGGGTGACAAGGAGACTGTCCGTCCTGGACCGGCCTCTGTGTCTCCTGCTCTGGGCTGCTCCTCCTCTCCACCCCATGATGTTTCTGCATGGCAGAGCACCCCTACTTTGTTCACTTTGCTCAAAGGGTAAAATCTCAGGATGCACAAGCATGGAGCAGCATTGTGAGAAAGTGGATCCCACCTCTGTGGAACTCACCCTGGGCACACTCTTCGCACCCACAGTTTCTGCAGTCAGATCTGAGATGGTGTGTATGAGTGGCCAGGGTCAGCCTGCAGGGCAGGGCCCTGATTCTGATAGAAGGTAGAGTATTTCCCCAAATCTCCAAAGAGGGTACCCGATGCCCTCCTGCCTCGGTCTCTTGTGGGGTTGGGATGATCTGCTGGCACAGTCTGGGCCTCGAGGGAAGGGCTGGGCTTGGGAGAAGGCCTGCTGCTTCCTGCAGAGTGAGAGCTGCCCACTGGGTTCCGCTCCCTGTCCTTGCTTACTACCTAACTCCTGGGCCAGACCTCCTCATGGGTAAAGTGGTAAAAAGAAGATCGTCGTAGAATTAAAGGAATTCACACAAGGAAACTCAGTGGTTGGCCATAATCAGCTGTATGCTGACCTTAGTCTCCCCCTCTACCTCACATCTCCTTGTGGTGACAAAGGACTGGGTCTGTGTATGGCCAGTGGAGGATGGGAAGAGCCCCCGATGCAGGCACACCCTTGGGCTGCCTAGGATGAGCTGGTGGGACATGGTTCCCGCAGCAATCCTGCT